TAAATCTTCGTTCTAAGAACATTGACTTACTTGCAGGTGATGCACCAGCGTCCAATTTCGGTGACGTACTTCTCATCCAATAGCCTGAACTTGACAGTAACTCGGTTGGACATCATCGTCAATAGGTCAAGTGTTGTATCCTTCTTTGTCGGCTGTTCTTGGAGGTCAGGCCCGCATTGATGGTCATTGAGGTCATCCTCCTAGAAACTTGGTGAGTCGTTGCGTACTATGCCCAGGAATCCTTACTAACCTCTTCTAGATCATCTGGTCCACCATCGCCATGGGCATCCTCTTCCTCAACTTGTTTCTCAGGTGGCTCAGCATCTTCGTCGACTAACTCAATCTCAACCTCTGGCCCACCAACGGCACCGACACGCTGCCGCTTTTTATCCCTTGCCTTTTTTTTCACTGGCTCTGGATCTTCGACATTGCTGTCTGGCTCCGAGTCGCTCACGCTGGCAACCCGTTTCCTTCCCTGTTTGGGTTTACTGACTCCTTTAGTTGCAGTCTTCGCCGTGGTCTTGGGCTCATGGAGCCTTGGTGGGATACCTTTGGCAATTGTTCGAGTTGTAATAGGCATAGCGGTTGAAGTGCGGGTCCCTCGATTTTTGCTGGCAAAATGTATGGTCGCTGTGTTTGGTTTTGCATTAATTAGGCACGAATAAAATGATTTCATGCGGAAATGTTACATAGATATTTGAAAGATGCAGCTTCTAGTTAGGTAGGGTTTGGGGGCAGAAAGACCGGTTGAGACCGGTTAGACCGGTCTTTAGTCAGTCTTCAAATTTCTGAAATTATGAAAGACCAAAGACCGGACCGCGGTTGCGGTCTTTGGCGGTCCTGAAATTTACCGGTCCTTGGCAGTCTGGGTTCGGTTCAGTCTCGGTCTTTTTCCAGTCCGAAGACTGGACTTCCAAGCACTACTTCAGTCACCCACCTTGAACAAGCTATTAGCCTTGAAACATATAGGTATATGTCCAGGCTAATAGGTTCTTTGGCCATTTATTTTTTTTGCCTCTGGAGGAAAATATATTATTGCATTGGGCAAAAATCTTACACCTTCAATATTGTGACCAGAAATGTTTGGGTTGATATATTGCATTGAAAAATATCCTAGCCATCTGAAAGTGGTCAGAAATGTTTGAAGCATGTTAGAGTGGTCGGAAATGTTTGAAGGGTTTCAGACTGGTAGGAAATGTTTTAGCTGTGTGACACTGCTTAGAAATGTTTTGACTATGTCACCCTGCTCAGAAATGTTTTGACCATGTCATACTGCTCGGAAATGTTTTAGCCTTGTCACACTGCTGAAAAATCTTTTGACCATGTCACACTGCTTGGAAATCTTTTGGCCATGTCACATAGGCAAAACATTTCCGAGCAGTGTCACAGAGTATCTGGGGTCCTAGTTTCAAAAAAAAAAAACTTCAAAAATTTCTACCATTTAAATTTGCTCTTTTCTGGATTCAACTTTTCTACAAAATTTATCATAAGGATAATTTTGGTCATCAACTTGCCTTTTTACTATTTTATTATAGAAAAAGCAGATTATATATTGCATGCAACTGTATCTATTGGTAATTCAGCTATTTGTTATATAGTTATAGCCTCTAAATTCTGCTTTATAAGATAATAAAAGTTGTTACTGACTGCTCTTATGTTGAGTTTATATTGATAATTGCTTATAATAGACTAGCCCTACTTACTGAATTATGACCAATGTCTATTGATGTCTGTAGCTAATCCATTGCAGACTGATTATATCAGACAGAACCAGCTATAGGATTTATGCAAATGTGATGAGTCATATGACATATGAACATGTGGTTGAGATATGTCATATAACATGATGTATTCATCACATTTCTCCCCAAAATATTCTTTCCCCCACCTCAGGAATGACTAGAAGCCACCAGAATCCTCTGGAACAGGACTAATAGGAATAATCTAAAACTAACTTTGTGGGCTATCACTAATTTTTTGTTGTGTATTAGTATTATTATCCCTTTTAGGGGCTGCACCTTCATTTCCTGTTTGAAGTATATTCTGAGAACTCTGACAGATAGTGGATAATGGATATACCAAGCCTCTTTTTTGATTTTTGATTTGCAATTTATTTATGAAGAACACTAAACTTTGCTTCGTTGGACATGTACCTAAGATTTACAACAGCACCCAGAAATAATTCTCTTTTTTTGTTTATTTTACACAAATTTATAGATAATTTTCATCTAAAAATGCAAATCTTTCCTTGTTTGGAATTAAATACTGGGCCTGGAAAATAATATCTTATATTATGACCACCATTAATTACTACCTACTATTATTTTCTAATTTCTTTTCTTATTTTATTGCTATTTCTGAGTATCTTCTATTAATTACCCTATTTGGAAATATGTCCACAACAGTCTATTCTTTTTTCTGTTTTTTCTTCTAATTTTGTGACTATGTTTGTATTAATTACCATACTGGGAAATGCACACAAACTATATAAATAGTAGCCTAACATTGTCAACAACAGTCTATTCTTTTTTTTTTTTTTTTTCTAATTTTGTGGATATAATTCTTGCCTGAAAAATGTGCACAGAACATCAACAACACTGTATTACTTTTTTTTCTGATTTTTCTGATTTTTTGGCTATATTTCTATTAATTACCATATTAAGAATGATGCACACACCATGTAGACAGTACTCAATATTATTCCCAATGGTGAGCACTACCTCTATTTATTTCTGATTTTATCACAATTTTTATGTAAAAATCCAATACTTTATTTATTTTACAATTTTAGCAGTCACAGACTGTCCTGGTATAAATAGTGGATAAGTGCTAAAATCTTTGCTGGCAGAAAAGAGATCACATGACTGGATCACATAGTTATATCACATGATACATCATATGCCATGCCACATGTGGTATCACATGACGATCTCACATGACATGCTTATGTCACATCTCAAATCATATGATATGCAATATCTAATTGCCATATTTGGAAATATGCATATACCAAGTAAACAAACATCAACATTATCAATGACCATTTCCATTATGTGATTTTCTTTTCTTATTTTTCTGACTTTTTGGGTATATTTTCAGTAATTACTATATTAAGAAATGTGCACAGACCATGTAAATATTACCCCATCATCACCACCCTATTTTTTCTAATTTTATTCTGGTGGTATTCCAAATCTGTGTGGTCTAATGGACTATGTGTGTGTTAAATATGGGAGCTGTCAATGAAAGTCATATAGCAAGCTAGAATGACAATGGTGTGAAGACCCAGCTATGATCTCAGTCACAGGTCGGTCCAAAGAGAGGAAGAATGAAGGGAAGAGACTAGATGCAGGTGTATTTTAGCAAGATTTGAGATTGCTTCTACATGTGGGGTAGTGAGTGAGCTTTGTACATGGTGGTTAAGGCTATTGTTATATCCAAAACTGTATTTCTTGCAGAGGTGGGTGCCATGCATGGCTGGCAGATATTGGGATTTTATCCATCTTCTACATTATTTACTTTCCATTGCTTAGCTTTTGTGTCACATGACTCCTTTTCATACGTGTCAATAGTAGTCGCATGTGACAATTCAACTTCTTTGATCTTTCAAACCACCTCTGTGTATAGGAATAATGACATACTGTATTTCTCCTAGAAATTTAGCAAGTGATTTGAGTTTATCAGGCTCACTGAATACTCTTGCAGAGGCATTCAGTTACAGAACAGCATATCTCTCCCAGTATCACTTTTCTAAGAATTTCCAGAGAAGGAGTGGGGATTGTGCAGTGGAATTCTGAAGCATCCACTACATACTGGTAGAATCTCTCTTGGACTAAGATCTGACTTGTATTTTAGCTAATCACAGCTTGTTATTGTTTTGGCTCGCTATACAACATTCATCAACACCTCCCCACATTTAATATATAGATAGTGTGTTACACATCTATTGGGGGGTGAGGATCATTCAGTAGTGCACTTTATATGCTCATAGTGATCATATAGTTACTGTCATTTGTAGGTAGCATAGACATATTACATGTAGATAATGAACATTGTACATAGGTAATGAGAATTTGTAGGTATCGTATAGGGATAGCATAAGCTTTGTAGGCACCCTACTACTATTATAAGGACATAACAATGACCCAATCCCCACTCACTATCCACATGGAATATGATCACTACCCACACTCAATGATGCTGATGACACCCAATGGATAATAACAACTAATTAATTGCCAGTCATGCATAATACCCATAATACACAACCCACCCTGTAGAAAATTCAGTTCTTATCATGTATTGGTTCTTGATATTATATAAAACCAAACATAGTCCTTGTGATTTCAGTGTGCAAATGGCAGTGCAAAGGATTGTAAATAGTGCAGGGGGATTCCACAAAGAAGAGGAGTAAGGGCACTAGTTTGGGTATTGTCTTTGGCATGGAGACAGAGCAGCAGAACATGTAAATACAAGAGCAAGGACATGGATAGGCATGGAAGCAATAGCACAAATAATAGACAAACATCTGACACTAGCTGATACAGGTTTCATCTCATAGTTTTTCAATGGATGCAACATGTAGATGTCGATGTTGTGTATCATGTGATCCATTCATATGATATAACAGGCATATGATATGGTCATGTGATAGGTCAGATGATGTGATCATATGATATGGTCATATGATATAGCCATGTGATATAGTCATATGATCTGGTCATGTGATATAACCATGTGATGTAGTCATGTGATGTTTCTTTCCAGCCTGGCATCACTGCTATTAGAAAAAAAGGAGAAAAATAACAGACTGTTGTTGATGGCCTGTGCACATTTCCTATTATGGAAATATAGCCAGATGATCAGACGAAAAAGGGGGAAAAAAAGAAATACACACATGGTCTGTGCACATTTCCTAATATGGTAATTAATACAAATACAGCCAGAAAACAAGAAGAAGAAAAACAAAAAAAAGGACTGTTTTTGACAATATTGGGGTACTATATGCATGGTCTGTGCATATTTCCTAATATGGTAATTAATGCAAATATAGCCAGAAAAAATAAGAAAAAAATCCAAGTGATGTAAATGGTTCTTGATAATGTTGATGTACTATTTACTTGGTCTGTGCATATTTCCAAATATGGTAATTAATGAAAATATAGTCAGAAAATTACAACAAAAAGAGATAAATAATATACTGTTGTTGACAATGTTGAGGTACCATATACATGGTTTGTGTGCATTTTCTAATATGGTAATTGATACAAATATAGTGAGAAAATAGAAAAAAAGAAGAGACATACTATTAACTATTATTGACAATGTTGGTGCATGGTGCACATGGTCTGTGCACATTTTCAAATAAGGTAATTTGTGCAAATATAGCCACAAAATCACAATAAAATGAGAGTACTATTGGGGAAAATGTAGATGGTAATTACTGGTGGTCATAATGTTGCAGGGCTGATTTCAGAGTCCAGTTTGCATTTTCAAATGAGGAAAGATTACTATTTTAAATGAAAATCATTTATAAAATGTGGTAAAAATGAGAAAAAATAGAACTTATTGTTGGGTACTCTTGTCAAGGTTTAAGATCCATGTTTAAAAAGGAAATTCAAGTATTTCTAATAAAGAGATCAGAATTTTTAGCTATCTGGGGAGAAATAGGTGGGGCACAGTAAAGTACTGGTAGTCATGGTAATGTTCAAGAAAGAAATTTAATATATCATTATGGTCAACAAATATGAATACATCACATCATATACATTTACATGAAACTTCAGACTCTGACAATCCTCAGAACTCTCTCCAGTCCTCAGAAATATATCTCTATGGGAGTGAAAAAATATAACTGGTATGGTCAATCTGACAATCCCCAGAACTTCCTCTAGTCTTCAGGAGCATACATCTACCACAGTAAAGAATATGGCTTGCACATCAGCCAATATTTACTTTCGGTAATTTGCAAAATATCTGATGATGGTACATTTGTACTCCAAGAATAATAGACATCAGTAATGATTCAGTAAGTAAGGCTGGCATATTATAAGCAATTATCAATATAAACTCAACATAAGAGCAGTCAGTAACAACTTTTATTATCTTATAAAGCAGAATTTAGAGGCTATAACTATATAACAAATAGCTGAATTACCAATAGATACAGTTGCATGCAATATATAATCTGCTTTTTCTATAATAAAATAGTAAAAAGGCAAGTTTATGACCAAATTTATCCTTATGATAAATTTTGTAGAAAAGTTGAATCCAGAAAAGAGCAAATTTAAATGGTAGAAATTTTTGAAGTTTTTTTTTTTTGAAACTAGGACCCCAGATACTCTGTGACACTGCTCGGAAATGTTTTGCCTATGTGACATGGCCAAAAGATTTCCAAGCAGTGTGACATGGTCAAAAGATTTTTCAGCAGTGTGACAAGGCTAAAACATTTCTGAGCAGTGTGACATAGTCAAAACATTTCTAAGCAGTGTCACACAGCTAAAACATTTCCTACCAGTCTGAAACCCTTCAAACATTTCCAACCACTTTCAGATGGCTAGGATATTTTTCAATGCAATATATCAACCTAAATATTTCCAGTCACAATATTGAAGGTCAAACATTTTTGTCCAATGCAATAATATATTTTCCTCCAGAGGCAAAAAAATAAACGGCCAAGGAACCTATTAGCCTGGATATATACCTATATGTTTCAAGGCTAATAGCTTGTTCAAGGTGGGTGACTGAAGTGTCCAGGCACATCTCACGCATCCAAAAACCAGCCTAGGCCCTAGGTACTTCTGAGGCAGATTACAATGCGCCCACAGAAGACAAGGACTCTTTTCTCTTCCTGAACTCGGACGATAGTCCATTGGCGGACGATGCAACGAGAAACATGGATGAAAGTAAGGAGCTGGTCCCTCGTCAGCAAGCTGGTCGTATCTCAAGTTCGTCATGGGATGTGTTGAACACCAGCTTCCAGAAGATCGACGACATCATCGACCAACTTGCTAATAAGACAGGCCATACACATGAGAACATCATCATGTTGTGGAAGCGGACCCACACACATGAATTTACAGGCTCAATGTGGAATAAATACCAGAAATACTTTCTAGCTAATGTAGACAGATTGGGGACTCAAGGGCAAATTGTAGGTATTTCTTTTACCTTAATATGTTCTTGACTGATGGCGATGATTTAGGCTGGACTTGCTGGGTCGGTTTTAAAGAACATGAGCCCAGATGGCGTGAGATCCTTGAGGTCTATGATGAAGTCCTCGCCACATCAAATGTTCACTCAACCATCAGTCAATGCACGCGAAAGTTTGACAGGCTGGTCAGTCAGCTCAAAAGGGTCACAAACAAAGCAGCCAAACAAGACAGCTTTGAATCCCTCTTTGTTTTGGTGGGAAATTCGATCCATGAGGACGTCGGTCTCTCTCAAGTTCACCTTTCGGCAGGTGTGGAGGAGGTATGTCCCATCTCCTGGTCTATCAACACATCCACTAACAGCTATCCTGTCAGTTCTTGCAGGAGCGGCTTCACATGGATCATGACACGATGAGTGGTCTATTTAAGAACCACGTCTGGTAGGCCAAACCTCCCAAGTCAGTTGAAGTTCACCCCTAATCCACACTTTTTGCAGCAACAGGATTTCCCTGGGACTCCAAACAAGGCTCGAGACAGACCAGAAGAGCTTGGCAGAGGCAGTTAACACGACCAATCCTAAGAAGCCTGGACCAGATGGGGACTCTTCCAACAGTGGCGATGACAACGACAACACAAGTAAAAGCTCTGGCCTCACCCTCGAAAAGGCAAAGGTGATCATCAAAACAGGCCTTCAAAACCTTCTGGGTATGTCACGACAATTGATTGTGGAACACAGGTGCTGATGTGACGTTGCAGAGCCATATGACCTCTGTCTTAGTTTCGAATCTATTCCTTGGTTGAAGCTGTCCACCACCCTCACCCCTGCCAGTCTTAGGATTGAAAATTGGACCAGAGGAGTCGATTTTCCATGCTCAATTGTGAAAGGCGCTACTGTAATTCGTAAACGAAACACAAGCCAGGGAATCAAAGACCTTGGCATTGGTGCCATCCGGCGTTTCGCTGAGTCTTTTTCATCTGATGCTACGAGGATCTGTGTTGTCCGCACGGATCCAGAAAGTAAGTGTTGTTGCCATTCAACCATTATACTACCAACTTATTATATTGTTTTACTAGTGCTACTCACGAGCAAAGTGCCCTTGTACATGGAAGCACTGCCAGGTCCCAGCTCAGTGACAACAGTCACTCATCATGGTTATCTGGATGGTCACGTCGATCAGATCATGGACAGGTCGCAGGAAAGCACCCTCGCATCGCGAAACTTCTGCCAGCACATGAGATCATAGAGATCAAGTTGAGTCCACCATCGGATTGCCCGACTATGGCGCCTCGTCGAGTGCACCCCAAAAGCAAAAAGGAAAGAAGACCTGATGGCAGCGATGATAGTGATGACGAACCTGTGGTTCCACCGGTGAAAAGGTGACCCACCAAGAAGTCCAAGGAAATTGTCTCATCCAGCGACATCAGCGATGCTGACGCCAATGATACTTTGGAGTCGACGGTGACTTCAAAGTCAGAGAAGGCCAAGATGACAGCGAAGGCGCTCAAGGGAAAGGGTAAGGCTAGGGCGACTAAGACCACTGCCATGGGCACCACCTCTGGATTGGGTGCTGCCCCAGCTGCCCCCAGCGACCAACTCAAACCGATCTCTGCATTCAGTGCAGTGTCTCATGCTGTCGCTGCTGCGTCTATGTCCAAACCATCACCCCCCACTGTAAACCCGGCTGGTAGTGCGCGCATCCAGCCACGCTCCATCAAGCATCAACCTCCAGCCATCTCAGCTGCCAGAGACCCATTCACTGTGAAAGAGGCCGGAGCTTCTGGAAATCCTAAGGGCGTGTCCATGTGACCTGTTGCTCCCTCAACGTCGACAATCCATGAGTCTACGACAATGTCCAAATGGTCAGTGTTTGGACCCATTCATATCTTCGACGATCCAGCCCTCTCCCTGTCCAAGTCCACTTCGAAACGCTCAGTGGATACTGAAAGGTCGCAAGTGGTAATCAGCAAGAAACCTCACACCAACATCAACAGACCGATGAGTTCAGCACTTGCGATGGCAGATAAACCATTGGAGGAACCAATCGTCATCCCAAAACCCACTTCTTCTGTGGAGGACACACCGGTGCCTGGAGCGACATCCATGCCTACTCCACCCCCAACACAAGGGGCCAGTGTAGTGTCTGCTTTTTTTCATTACAACACTTTCTAGTGTCCGCTTTTTTCATTAGAAAATTGTGTAGTGTCCGCTTTTTTCATTACAATTCTGTGTAGTATCCGCTTTTTTCATTAGAAAACTCTGCAGTATTCGGTTTTTTCATTAGAAATGTGTGCAGTGTCTGCTTTTTTCATTAGAAAACTGTGTAGTGTCTGCTTTTTTCATCAGAAAACTTTGTGGTCTGCCTTTCTGATATATTATCACTCCAGTAAAACAGCTCTTCATCATCTGGAATTCATACACCAGTTGTGTTTTGACTGAGCATCAAGTGTCCTAACTTTCCCCTTGAACAGCATCTGACAGTAGCCCCAACAGCTGGCAAATCAATCACTGAGATCTTCTTGAAGGAGATCATGTTGAGGTTGGGTAGGTCAGACAAAGATGGACAGAGACAACTCCCCAGGGAGATGCAATGAATGTTGGACAACATGACTGAAGCTGGCCAAGGGAACAATTAGAACACTTGATGGTCAGTCAAAACACAATTTGTGTATGGATTCTAAATGATGAAGTGGTCTTTGTGGAGTCAGTTTCTCTGAAACATTAAGCTATATTTCCAGGAAGCTGCAAGATATCAGAAAGGCAAACCACAAAGTTTTGTAATGAAAGAATTGGACACTGCACACATTTCTAATGAAAAAAGCGGACACTAGACAATTGTGTAATGAGTAAAGCAGACACTACATAGTGTTGTAATGAAAAAAGCGAACACTACACAATTTTGTAATGCATAAAGTGGACACTACCCAGATTTCTAATGAAAAAGCGGACACTGCACAGTTTTCTAATGAAAAAAGCAGACACTGCACACATTTCTAATGAAAAAACCGAATACTGCAGAGTTTTCTAATGAAAAAAGCGGACACTACACAATTTTGTAATGAATAAAGTGGACACTACACAGATTTGTAATGAAAAAAGCGGATACTACATAGAATTGTAATGGAAAAAGCGGACACTACACAATTTTCTAATGAATAAAGCGGACACTACAAAGTGTTGTAATGAAAAAAGCGGACACTAAAAGCGTGGGAAATAATTCCCCACCCAAATGCGCACTGTGCCTGACATCAGGTGTGTCAGAAAAAAGTGTAACGCTTTTCTTAATTAGGAAATGGCCCAATTAGGAAATAGTGCACACATCAATGCATATACTACACATGGGTCAAACCCATTGGTAAATATCTGTCAACAAACATCCCAATGTGGGTATTCTGCCTACAAAATAATAGGTAAATCCCCTATCCCCTATATTAAAAAAATCCCAAGTTTTTCTCTTAAATATAGGACCCCAGACACCCCTTGTGGCTGAAAAAATATATCCTTAGTCAACTCTAGCTGCAAAATATATCCCAAGTCCATCCCAGACAAGAAATATATTTCTACATTGTGACAGTCACAATTCAGGGTCCAGGCATAAGAAATATATTTGGAGTCCATTCCAGTGAGGAAATATATTTTGGGGTGTGTGACACACTAGAAATATATTTAGTGTGACATTGGACAACAAAATATATTTAGGTAAAAGTGGAGATATACAAGCCCAGAATATATACAATATAGATATACACCCTGACATTTAGTCCCGTAGTATTCATGGAGTTTGCAAGACTAATAGTCAGTTGTCAGTGGGTGACTGAAGTGGCCAGGGAACGTCACACCAAGCGGCAGATCAGTTGCCACAGCAGGCACACGAGCCCAAACTTCGAGGAAAAGTGGCATACACCATTGATGATGGCCCTTCCAATGGAGAAATGGCCGATGACACCCGCCCTGCGGTGAACTCCCCGACAGCCTCCCCTCCTGCTAAGCGAATGCACTGCGAGGAAACGTCACACAGAGCAGCAGGTTCGGTCCAACCGCAAGCAGGCAATTACCATGGTATGGACCACCCTCTTGCTAAACAGGATGAAAGTCACTCATAGTTCCAGGTTCAGGTCCTCGCCAACAGAAGGCACAAGACCCCCATGTTGCATATCAGCATCAGGTTGGCACTCCTGACAACAGTGGCCCAGAGGTCTCCCGAACCATGAATGCACATACCAGGCCTCTGCACCCACACCCTGAACATATCGACAGTGGCTCGGAGCCAGTGCATAATCCCCATGGGACTTTGCATCAACCTACCGCCCAAGACAATGCTGCCTCAGACCACGCTGGGGGCTTTCGGTTCAGATCTCCTCAGGCCCAATACTATAACAACGTCAACATGCATGATGAAGACAAACACAACACGTATATGGAAGACTATCACCATCTGGTTCGTATGGACAACCAACACCTCCGACTTCCCCCTCAATTTTCAGGCCAACACCCATGTCAATATGGGCCGTCTGGCTTTGGTGGAAGAGGACGTGGCGGCCGCTCCCAATATCGAGCATTAGTGTTTAAAGGTTCAGTCCATAGGACCGCAAAAAACCGGTGGACCGAACTGAACCGGACCATGGTCCGGTCTTTTTTTCGGTTGCAGTTGCCCCAATTTGGGGTTGGTCCGGTTGCCGGTTGCCTCATTTCGAAAATCTTTTAAAACCGTTCAAAGACCGGTTTTAATCGGTTGCAACCGGTTGAACGGTCACGTGCGTTACATAGCCTTGTAACCACGTTTATTGCCTTTTATGGGGTTTTTGTTTCATCAAAAACGGTTAAGAATTGAGAAAGATATAACCAAATCCATATTTTACCCAAGTCTCTAGGAGATGTAATTCAGTTTCAGTCATAGCTATGTCAAATCTTCATTAAATCTCTTGAAAATTGGTAGAATGACGGGTATTTATATGCTTTACTATTTTATATAACCCGTTTATTTTTCAGAGTAATAATGGTTGAGATACAAATGGTTTATATTGATATAATAAATTATACGCAAAAAAACCGGTCTGGATCGGTCTGAACCGGTATCATGGACTGCAAAAGACCGGTCCTAGGTGGTTCGGTTCGGTTCCCTCAATATTTGGGTCGGTCCTGGACCGGTTGCGGTCCACGGTTGCGCGTTTTCGGGGCAAAAAACCGGACTGAACTGAACCTTTAAACACTATCGAGCATATGCTCATCCATATGAGTTTAGTGTGTACTATGGGCAAGGCCACGAAGGCTTTGCTGGTTACAGCCATCAGAGGTTGGGACGTGGGCCATTGGAAAGTGGTGATGACTCTGACCGATTCTCGGAGGGTAATCCGCTACATAGACAATACCCTGGTGAGGGCCATGGTTTCTGAGTGTTTGTCATCGGATGGGGAGCTCGATTACATCTTTACTGTGTGTATCATCTTTACTCTTTGTTTCTGGTAAACAAGGTTACACCAGACTTAGAATAGTTCTGGTAGACAAGGCAACACTGTACATAGCATACTTTATTTCTGGTAGATAGAGCATGTTGTGGACTCTTACTTAGCGGTTTCTGGTAGACTTTGCTTCGTCATACTTGTATTTCAGGTAAATATAAGTATTTGCTGGCCTTCTACTTTGTTTGCCAATAACAGGGCTAAGGCTGACTTATACTTGTTTTTTGGTATATGGAGTTTACTTGGGGTGCAAGCTAAGGTGGACTTATACTTCTTCAACATCTCCGCATTCCCGCTCAATTCACAAATAATGGCCAACATCCACAACAATATGGGCCATCTGGCTTGGGTGGGTCTGGCTTTGGTGGAAGAGGACATGGTGGCCACCCTCAATATCGAGGATACGCTCATCCACATGACTTTGGTGGGTACTACGGACAAGGCCACAAAGGCTTGCCTGGTTATGGCCTTCAGAGGTTGGCACATGGGCCTTTGGAAGGTGGTGATGACTCAGACCGATTCTCAGAAGGTAATCCACAACATAGACAATACCCTGGTGAGGGCCATGGTTTCTGAGTGTTTGTCATCGGATGGGGAGCTCATTTACATATTTACCACGTGTATCATCTTTACTCTGTCTTTCTGGTAAACAGGGTGACACCAGACTTAGATTAGTTCTGGTAGACAAGGCAACACCATACATAGCATGCTTTATTCCTGGCAGAGTATGTCAAGGACTTAGACTTAGCAGTTTCTGGAGGTCTTTATTGTCCTCCACTGATTCCTGCCAGAATACGGCGGAATCCGGGGAATTCCTGGAATTCCGGAGGAATCAAATTTGGCAGAGGGCCCTGCCAAATTGATCAAACAATTCCGCGGAATTTTGAATGGAATTCAAATTCCGCCGGAATGATTCCGGTGATCACCCGGAAGGAATGCTCACGGAACGAGACCGGAATGGAATTCCTGATGCCCAAATCAACAAACAACGCCATCTCTTTCAACCACCACCACCATCACCGACGCCTACACACCACGTCGCCAACGTCCACCACCACGCACACCAGCCACGATGAGACAATGACGACGGCCACGATATGGGAGATGACGCCTTGACGCCACATCAACAACCCCAGTAAACGAGTGCGGCAACACGTGGCAACCAGACGACGAACGACGATTTCGTCATTCGTCGTCCCAGGTGAGCACCCCCCCCAAACTTGTCCCAACCCAGCTCGCTAACACCACGCCCACGACGAGGGACAGACAGCACACCAGCGCACCACCACGCCAACACACCACCACCACAACCATGCCCATGGACGACCTGCCACACCATATCAACGGACCGCCACCACGTCAATGGATGATGCCCACATCAATGGACGACGACGACACCCACGTCAACGGACGACAAGCACATCAGCGGAGGACGACGATGCCCACATCAACAGACGACGATGACGACAACCATGCCAGCGGACGACAATGACGACCACGTCAGCGGACAACAACAACGACCATGTCAGTGGACGACGATGCCCACGTCAGTGGACGACGAGCACATCAGCAGACGACAACGACCCACCCTCTTCCCTGTCCCTCCTTTCCCTCCTCCCCTCCCTTTCCATCCCCCCTTCCTTGTGCCTATCTTTATCCATCTCCCTTCCCTTTTCTCTCCCCCTCCCTTTTCTCTCCCCCTCCCTTTTCTCTCCCCCTCCCTTTTCTCTCCCCCTCCCTTTTCTCTCCCCCTCCCTTTTCTCTCCCCCTCCCTTTTCTCTCCCCCTCCCTTTTCTCTCCCCCTTCCTTGTCCATCCCCCCTTCCCTTTCTCTGTCCCTTCCCCCTTCCTTGTGTGTGCCTCTCTTTGCCTATCTTCTTCCTCCCCCTTCCATCCTCCCCCCTTCCCTGTGCCTCCCCCTTCCTTTAGTATACACTGTAGTAAAATGTATTTTATGTTATAATTGAAATACATTAAAATTTGATTTCTATTTAAATTTGACTTCTGAATTTTGAAAGAATATGAAGCTATCAGTATAAGGTGACTTCAGAATGTAATAGAATAGATTTATGTAGCTCTACTGAATATACTACAATATGTGAACAATTGAATGCATGGCTGGGTGGATTTGAGCTTCTCAAACACATGAAACCTGGAAATTCAACTGGTTTTTACATGTAATGTTGTTTTATCACACAAAACATGTCCTCACTCAACAGAAACACAAAGCAAAGTCTCAGGAGACTAAAAGTGATGATGAAGACTTGGGTTTGGATGAACAACATGCAGAATCTAATGTCTCTGAATCTGATTGAAATAAATAAGTCCATGCATTAGTAAGTAACTAGTTGTATGCCTTATGCCCTTGTTTAGTCAAAGATTTAGTGCTACAATTCTATTTGTCTGACCTAAAGAAGGAGATTCAGGGTCCAAAATTAATTAACCAGAAGTTCTAGTGTTCAATTTCTGTTGATTCCAGTTGGATTCCTGTTGATTCTGGCCGGAATTCCAGGAATCCTACTGGAATTTCAGGAATCCTACTGGAATTCCAGGATTCCAGCCGGAATCCAGGGAATCCACGGATTCCAGTAGGAATCAGTGGAGGAATGGAAAGTATTGAGTTTCTGGTAGACTCAGCTTTGTTGTACTTGTATTTCAGGTAAATATAAGTAGTTGCTGGCCTTCTTCTTTGTTTGTGGAAAATGGGGCAATTCTGTTTCATTGGTAAGATTGCTTTTCTATGGTAGAATAGGACTCACAGTATGAGTCCATTGCTGTGGGATTATTCCAATGGTATTTGTATGGTATGATTCCATTGCTATGGGACTATCCCAATGGTATGGTATGGTATGATTCCATTGCTGTGGGATTATTCCAATGGTATTGTATGGTATGATTCCATTGCTGTGGGATTATTCCAATGGTATTGTATGGTATGATTCCATTGCTATGGGACTATCCCAATGGTATGGTATGGTATGATTCCATTGCTATGGGACTATCCCAATGGTATGGTATGGTATGATTCCATTGCTATGGGATTATTCCATTGCTATGGGACTATCCCAATGGTATGGTATGGTATGATTCCATTGCTATGGGATTATTCCATTGCTATGGGACTATCCCAATGGTATGGTATGGTATGATTCCAATGGTATTGTATGGTATGATTCCATTGCTATGGGATTATCCCAATGTTATGGTGTGGTATGATTCCATTGCTATGGGACTATCCCAATGGTATGGTATGGTATGATTCCATCACTATGGGATTATTCCAATGGTATGGTATGGTATCATTCCAGGTCTATGGCATTACTCCAATGGTATGGTATGGTATCATTCCATGGCTGTGGTATTGTTCCAATGGTATGGTATGGGATGATTCCATAGCTATGGTATGATTCCAATGGTATTGTATGGGTTCATTCCATGTCTGTGGGATCATTCCATTGATATGATATAGTCTGGGGTAGGAGGTGCATATGCCAGGGTGTACTATTGAGAGGTAATGACAAGATGTTAGCAGGTTAGCATGGGTGAATCATCATTGATCCTGCATTTCTCCTATAACTGCCCACACACCAATTTATCAAGAAACACTTCATTGTGTTACACAATTTATCATGTAACAGTCCAACTTGAGCCTCGCAATATGTCCATATGGTGTTGTACTGTTCTTGACGTGTAGAGCCCTGTTGATATTTATTAAGGTGCAGAGCAGGGGTTCCTTAAACATCCTGTCACATTACAGTTGAGCCTCGCAATATGCACATATAGTGTGGAACTTTTCTTGACATGTGAAATGCAATTCCCTGTTGTTATGTCTTGAGGTGCAGAGCAGGTATAAGATTAGTTGGTGCACCCAAAGGCAAGCCAGTTACCTGATATGTTTGTGTTCCATGGTATGTATGACACTATTATACAATCAAGAAAGTGCACAAACATGTGTTTCTGGAATAAAGTGATTGGATGTAATAGAGTTGAAGGCTAAATAGATTGTCACCCTCACATGACATTGCCTGGATATAAGTAGGCATGGTAGGTGGCTTGTGATGGATATTAGAAGGGCTGGGATAAAGGCTATTTGAGCAGATTTTGGGAGATTTCTGCTGGTTTTCAAAAGATAAAGATAGCCACCAATTGTAGCTCAAAATGTCAGAAGAAATGTGATGAACCGGCCCACAAAAAATGGAGCCCAACCGACCAGAATTGCAGCCAGCAGAAATATTTTTCATATTTTGGAAAAAGGACCCCAGAGACCCTGTGACAGCTTTGGAATGATGGTATGGTATGGTATGGTATGGTATGGTATGGTATGGTATGGTATGAGGTGATTTGGTATGGTATGAGATGGAATGGAATGGTATGGTATGGTATGGTATGGTATGAGGTGGAATGGTATGTGGCATCCATACCATGGTATGATAGAATTGGTATGAGGGTCATACCACTCTGGAATGGGGTACCACTAAGGTTCCCTATTTCAAAGAATTGGATAACCTCATAGGTACCCTAAAATGGGTGACTGAAGTGCTTTTGAAAATCTTTTATCTCATATCTCCACAATGGGAGCACTTCAGAACACAATTCAACCAGATTTGGGAAGCTACAGTGCAGGCTACAACTTTTGTTTTGACCATTTTTGGTAATTGGTCATGTGACCATCATCCTGACATCCCATTGAATGAACCCTGACAAGCAGAATCCTCATTATCTTGAATTTCTTGACTTTTTGGTCATACAAGATCATATTTCCTTTTGCAGGTATATATAAATGACCCTGACATGGACCCTGAAGGCAGTCCCTCATATTGTATACACTGCATATACCAACTCTATTTTTTTGTGAGTTTAATGTGTTATGCTAAAAATATGCATGCCTTGCAGCTCAATGATGGCCCCAGTTCTTTTCAAAGTACCTAGGCCCTGGGCATCAAAATTGATACTGTCCACCTTGCAGTCTTCAGGACAATTAGTGTTCACAGATCCAGTCCACAGGACTGAAAATATACATAGGACCAAACTGGACTGAACCACGGTCCAGTCTTTTTCCAGTTGCAGTTGCCCACATTTGTGGTCAGTCCAGTTGCCAGTTGCCATGTTTTTGTAAAGATTTGAAAGCCAAAAAAAGACTGGTGTAGACTGGTTGCAACCAGTCTTTCATCCCATCACATGTTGGACCTTACTCACACACATTCAATCTTCAAAAATGGTCAACAATTGGTTGAGATATGGCCAAAAACATTTTTATATATGCAATTTGAATGTATGTTCTTTCTGTTTTCGCCATATCTCAGTCAAATCTTGACAGAATCGCTTACATTGTTTATCAGTCTATGGAGAATTAAATTATCTATCTGTGTATGCAATGTATGTGAGGTAATATTTAGGTCCTGTGGTACAATAAATTTTACAACAAAAGAACAGTCTGGACCAACTAGGACTGGTCTAAAAGGGGTTGCAGTCCCTTAATATCTCAATCAGACTGGACTGGTTGCAGTTGCCAGTTGCCTTATTTCGAGGTAAAAAACCAGACTAGACTGGACTTTAAAACATTAAGGATGATGTTGTGTGATCTGATGACTTCCTGAACACGTTCACTGGGCATGCTCAGAAATTCATCCTCCGTGAAAATCTTGAAAACTGATTCTGCAGGTCTTTTGACATGGAGGGGTTGTCCTTTGATTAAATGCACTGATTCAAATAATAAATGAAGATTGTTGAGATCACTTTTATGCTGAATGTCATCATAACTAGATTATATTGTTGGCTAAGAGATAATAGGTTGCTTACATGCAGTGCTGGCTTAATGGTAACTGCCTTGCCTTTAGGATCCCAAACCATGAGGCTTGGTGATTTTATTTTCTACAATGCATGTGTTGTCAAGGATAATCTAGTATAATGTGGTTGTCATACTTTTGAAAGAGGTTCACTAGGCAGATTGACATCATCCACGACTTGCTGATACATAATCCAATTATGTGAAATGCTTCACATTGAAGGACAAAGAAACTTACTATTTTGTAAAAGCTTTGGGCCATGCTATACCCAGGTGCTGGTAGTGAGGAAATGGAAGTCAAGGAGGGTTGATTGGTACAATGTGTTCTTTTT